GTCTATGACTTTAGGTGTTGCCCTAATTTGCAGTATTAGTGTTGCCCTGTTGCCCTTAAGCCCCATGTGAACATACATTATACACACCAGCCCTGAATTTATGGTGAGACTCTTAAAAGCTTGGAAACACATGCCTTTTAATCTTAGAGGCTGTTTGTCGTTGTTGCTGTTGTTGTTGTTGTTGTTGTTGTTGTTGTGATAAACAAGTCGTGAGTCTCTAGCAATAATTCCCTCGCTAAATGGAAATATTTTAGTATTTTAAACTCATTTGTTAAACATCAAGAAGCATGATTCCCTTTGCATTATAACTTAATTTTTACTCATGCTTAAAGGCATGGAGCCTGTTAATTTGTGAGGTGTTTTGACAAGCATTGGATAGATTGCCATAAAATCTGGTGCACATTCATGTTCCCCTCGGGATATACTGTAATAACTTTGACGATCCTTTCACTTTTCCTTTAGTGCCACCATTAGGTCTAATTTTATTTATCCCATACTTTAGTTTATGACCCAAATACCAGCAAAAATAATGACATTCCCATCAGCCTCAGCTATACTTTGTGCTTTGTGGCACTATAGTGCTTAAGTAGAGCCTCACAGAGCTGTAGCTCTAGACTATATGTGTAATTATTTTGTTTTTCCTAATGGATCTGATTATTATTTATTTTTCTCATGTTTTTGTACATTATAAGAATTTCCCTGCTGCTTTTTGGTTGTCTTACAAACTACCACCATTTTTTCCTTATTGCTCTTTTGGCACTGAGCACAAATAGAATTTTTTAAAACCTGTTATATACTATATAACTAATATACGTAACTAATGCACAGCAGGAATATTCTTGATTCGCAATCCAGAATATTTTAATTTTAAAAAGCTTAAACTAATTTTAAATTTAATGTTTTTAGAAATATATAAAAGTATTTGGATTTTATTTATGCATAAGACAAAGTTTACAGGGTTCAGACCAAAATGGTTGCTACCATCTTGTAGTATTTTTGTGCATCCAGCTGTTCTTTTTTCTGCTCTGTGGTCGACCAAACTGTAACTCGCCTGTTTTTTTTTTAATCAGATTCCTTTTCAGTGGGAAAAATGTTCAAACTTTATATAAATCATTCTTTTTGTTTCTTCTAATTTAATAATTGCCGTGGTGCTGTTATAATAAACCTGCATTTCAGAGGTTTTTAGTTTTTCAACACAAAAGAAAACATTTCTGCGGTGGTTGTGGGAGTTGCTGTAAGTTTGTGGGCTTTTTCTGTCTCAATTTATCTGTAAAAATGCATTTTTTTTTTCTTGGCTGAAAGTTTTAGATTTCTTAGAAGTTTAGACAATCTTTTATAGATTAAAAAAAATATTTCCCATAATAGTATTTGCTTTCAGAGGGAGTGTGCACTTTCTCTGCTCCAAACAAATCCTGGTGAACACACAAGACAGACAAGC